CCACAAATGACTTCATTGTAAGACACACTCATGCGCACACACACACACACACACACACACACACACACACACACACACACACACACACACACACACACACACACACTCTCTCTCTCTCTATCTCTCTCTCTCTCACACCACTCCTCTCTCCTGTCCCCCACAGGCTCTGCCAGCCTGTTAGAGCACCTTTTGTTCAAAGTCTGCCTGGAATCTCAATGTGGACATGCAGGGATGCCTTCACTCTGCTCCGCACGGCTTTTAAAATGTTTACAGAGCTGTGGCCACACTAGTCTAGTCGCTCAATTCTCATTTTGCCTGCAAGGGTATCAGCCAAAAAAAGACCTGTTTCAATAGTGGGGGTTTTATAGCTGAAAGGGGTCGTTACTGAGCTATTGACAGTCTGGTCTGCTACTGTGTCTGGTCTGGTCTGGTCTGGTACTGTGTCTGGTACTGTGGGTCTGGTCTGGTCTTGTCTGGTACTGTGGGTCTGGTCTGGTCTGGTACTGTGGGTCTGGTCTGGTCTGGTACTGTGGGTCTGGTCTGGTCTGGTACTGTGGATCTGGTCTGGTCTGGTCTGGTACTGTGGGTCTGGTCTGGTCTGGTCTGGTACTGTGGGTCTGGTCTGGTCTGGTACTGTGGGTCTGGTCTGGTCTGGTCTGGTACTGTGTGTCTGGTCTGGTCTGGACTGGTACTGTGGGTCTGGTACTGTGGGTCTGGTCTGGTCTGGTACTGTGGGTCTGGTCTGGTCTGGTACTGTGTGTCTGGTCTGGTCTGGTACTGTGGGTCTGGTCTGGTCTGGTACTGTGGGTCTGGTCTGGTCTGGTACTATGGGTCTGGTCTGGTCTGGTCTGGTACTGTGGGTCTGGTCTGGTCTGGTACTGTGGGTCTGGTCTGGTCTGGTACTGTGGGTCTGGTCTGGTCTGGTACTATGGGTCTGGTCTGGTCTGGTCTGGTACTGTGGGTCTGGTCTGGTCTGGTACTGTGGGTCTGGTCTGGTCTGGTACTGTGGGTCTGGTCTGGTCTGGTACTGTGGGTCTGTCTGGTCTGGTACTGTGGGTCTGTCTGTGCAGACTGTGATAGTGAAGCCAAACAGCTGTACAGTTGCTACTGTAAGTCGCTCTGGATAAGAGTTTCTGCTAAATGACTAAGATGTGTCTGGCCTGGGGATGCTAACCTACAGTGTACCTTCTAAACCAATATCTGTAGAGAAACCAGTGACCATCGATCCACCCACAGATACAGGGCTAGTCTAGTTTGATGTAGCCTGCCTCTGACATACAGACATGCACACACACACATGCAGACACACACACACACACACACACACACACACACGCACACGCACACACACACACACCTCCCCAACAAACAGGCATTGAGTTAACTAGGTTCCACCTCCAGTGAAGGTTCCTCTTTCTCTCTATTCACCCTACCAGACACATACATTAAAGATGCCTCCCATAGACCTTTGAGAGCAGTGACAGACCACAGTACTGACAGACCACTGTAGTGACAGAACACAGTACTGACAGACCACAGTACTGACAGACCACAGAAGTGCAGGCCACTGTAGTGACAGACCACAGTACTGACAGACCACTGTAGTGACAGACCACAGCAGTGACAGACCACAGTACTGACAGGCCACTGTAGTGACAGACCACAGTACTGACAGGCCACTGTAGTGACAGACCACAGCAGTGACAGACCACAGCAGTGACAGACCACAGTAGTGACAGACCACAGCAGTGACAGACCACAGTACTGACAGGCCACTGAAGTGACAGACCACAGTACTGACAGACCACTGTAGTGACAGACCACAGCAGTGACAGACCACAGCAGTGACAGACCACAGTAGTGACAGACCACAGCAGTGACAGACCACAGTACTGACAGGCCACTGAAGTGACAGACCACAGTACTGACAGACCACTGTAGTGACAGACCACAGCAGTGACAGACCACAGTACTGACAGACCACAGTAGTGACAGACCACAGTACTGACAGGCCACTGTAGTGACAGACCACAGCAGTGACAGACCACAGTAGTGACAGACCACAGCAGTGACAGACCACAGTACTGACAGACCACAGTAGTGACAGACCACAGTACTGACAGGCCACTGTAGTGACAGACCACAGTACTGACAGGCCACTGTAGTGACAGACCACAGCAGTGACAGACCACAGTAGTGACAGACCACAGCAGTGACAGACCACAGTACTGACAGGCCACTGAAGTGACAGACCCCAGTACTGACAGACCACTGTAGTGACAGACCACAGCAGTGACAGACCACAGTAGTGACAGACCACAGTACTGACAGACCACAGTAGTGTCAGACCACAGTACTGACAGGCCACTGTAGTGACAGACCACAGCAGTGACAGACCACAGTAGTGACAGACCACAGCAGTGACAGACCACAGTACTGACAGGCCACTGAAGTGACAGACCACAGTACTGACAGACCACTGTAGTGACAGACCACAGCAGTGACAGACCACAGTACTGACAGACCACAGCAGTGACAGACCACAGTACTGACAGACCACAGCAGTGACAGACCACAGCAGTGACAGACCAGAGCAGTGACAGACCACAGCAGTGACAGACCAGAGCAGTGACAGACCACAGTAGTCAGACATACAGCACAGCCATTACCTCAGACATACAGCACAGCCATTACCTCAGACATACAGCAAAGCCATTACCTCAGACATACAGCACAGCCATTACCTCAGACATACAGCACAGCCATTACCTCAGACATACAGCACAGCCATTACCTCAGACATACAGCACAGCCATTACCTCAGACATACAGCACAGCCATTACCTCAGACATACAGCACAGCCATTACCTCAGACATACAGCACAGCCATTACCTCAGACATACAGCACAGCCATTACCTCAGACATACAGGACAGTCATTACCTCAGACATACAGCACAGCCATTACCTCAGACATACAGGACAGTCATTACCTCAGACATACAGCACAGCCATTACCTCAGACATACAGGCCCTCCCCAGGGAGAGGGAGGGGTACACTAGGCCGCCATGTTGGCTCCCCCAGTGCTTGTCAGGCTCCGCCTCCTGCTCTAATGGTCCAATAAAGTGTATTTGACCCCACCCCTCAACGCACTGTAAACAACCAGAGATCAATGGAAGGTTGTATATCACCTGGGTCAACACGGCCAAGGTGTATGCGTTTGTGTGTGTGTGCGTGGGTGTGTTTGTGTGTGTGTGTGTGTGAGTGTGTTTATGTGTGCGTATGTGTGCGTGGGGGTGTGTGTGTGTGTGTGTGTCTGCTTTGTCCAGCTGTGTGTGTGTGTAGGGGTGTGTAGGGGTGACTAGGCTAGTGTGTACTGTGCACGGTCCATTGCAGGGTTTCTCTCTTCTGTGTGTGGGGTGTTCCTTTATCGCAGAACCATTCATAAACGACTTAGATTTATGGGCGTTCATTACAGTTTTAGAGCAATAACTTTTGTTAAAAGGTTCTATTGCCACTGGAAACTCACTACATGACACTTGCAATTGTACATGCAGTGACTTGGGGAAGCTTGTACATGCAGTGACTTGGGGAAGCTTGTACATGCAGTGACTTGGGGAAGCTTGTACATGCAGTGACTTGGGGAAGCCATTACTATAATTGGTTAATTCCACATGGATGGCGGAGGGTTTTAGGGCATGACAGAGTCCCAACAGGGATTAGAACCCATGACCCACAGACCTGGAGGAGCTAACCCTAACCCACAGACCTGGAGGAGCTAACCCTAACCCACAGACCTGGAGGAGCTAACCCTAACCCACAGACCTGGAGGAGCTAACCCATGACCCACAGACCTGGAGGAGCTAACCCTAACCCACAGACCTGGAGGAGCTAACCCATGACCCACAGACCTGGAGGAGCTAACCCTAACCAACAGACCTGGAGGAGCTAACCCTAACCCACAGACCTGGAGGAGCTAACCCTAACCCACAGACCTGGAGGAGCTAACCCTAACCAACAGACCTGGAGGAGCTAACCCTAACCCACAGACATGGAGGAGCTAACCCTAACCCACAGACCTGGAGGAGCTAACCCATGACCCACAGACCTGGAGGAGCTAACCCTAACCCACAGACCTGGAGGAGCTAACCCTAACCCACAGACCTGGAGGAGCTAACCCTAACCAACAGACCTGGAGGAGCTAACCCTAACCCACAGACCTGGATTAGCTAACCCTAACCCACAGACCTGGAGGAGCTAACCCTAACCCACAGACCTGGAGGAGCTAACCCTAACCCACAGACCTGGAGGAGCTAACCCTAACCAACAGACCAGGAGGAGCTAACCCTAACCAACAGACCAGGAGGAGCTAACCCTAACCCACAGACATGGAGGAGCTAACCCTAACCCACAGACCTGGAGGAGCTAACCCTAACCCACAGACCTGGAGGAGCTAACCCTAACCCACAGACCTGGAGGAGCTAACCCTAACCCACAGACCTGGAGGAGCTAACCCTAACCAACAGACCAGGAGGAGCTAACCCTAACCAACAGACCAGGAGGAGCTAACCCTAACCAACAGACCAGGAGGAGCTAACCCTAACCAACAGACCTGGAGGAGCTAACCCTAACCCACAGACCTGGAGGAGCTAACCCTAACCCACAGACCTGGAGGAGCTAACCCTAACCCACAGACCTGGAGGAGCTAACCCTAACCAACAGACCAGGAGGAGCTAACCCTAACCCATAGACCAGGACGAGCTAACCCTAACCCACAGACCTGGAGGAGCTAACCCTAACCCACAGACCAGGAGGAGCTAACCCTAACCAACAGACCAGGAGGAGCTAACCCTAACCCATAGACCTGGATGAGTTATGTTCTCTATCCATTATCCTATAAAGTCTAGATTTTAAACCCCACCTATCAAATGGACCTCTCTCACTCTCTTCAAATAGCATGTGTGTGTGTGTGTGTACAGAGGGATAGGGATGTGACAGATGCGTCTTCACACAGCGAAGGCTCTGTCACTTTGGACCAGCTCTGCCACCTTGGTCCAGTTCTGCCTCCTTGGACCAGCTCTGTCACCTTGGACCAGCTCTGTCACCTTGGACCATCTCTGTCACCTTGGACCATCTCTGCCACCTTGGACCAGCTCTGCCACCTTGGACCAGCTCTGCCACCTTGCACTATCTCTGACACCTTGGACCAGCTCTGTCACCTTGCACTATCTCTGACACCTTGGACCAGCTCTGTCACCTTGGACCAGCTCTATCCCCTTGGACCAGTTACCTTGGACCAGCTCTGCCACCATGGACCAGCTCTGCCACCTTGCACTATCTCTGACACCTTGGACCAGCTCTGTCACCTTGCACTATCTCTGTCACCTTGGACCTGCTCTGTCACCTTGGACCCGCTCTGTAACCTTGGACCAGCTCTGTCACCTTGGACCAGCTCTGCCACCTTGGACCAGCTCTGACACCTTGGACCAGCTCTGCCACCTTGGACCAGCTCTGTCACCTTGGACCAGCTCTGCCACCATGGACCAGCTCTGTCACCTTGGACCAGCTCTGCCACCTTGGACCAGCTCTGTCACCTTGGACCAGCTCTGCCACCATGGACCAGCTCTGTCACCTTGGACCAGCTCTGTCACCTTGGACCATCTCTGTCACCTTGGACCAGCTCTGCCACCTTGGACCAGCTCTGCCACCATGGACCAGCTCTGCCACCATGGACCAGCTCTGTCACCTTGGACCAACTCTGTCACCTTGGACCAGTTACCTTGGACCAGCTCTGTCACCTTGGACCAGCACTGCCACCTTGGACCAGCACTGTCACCTTGGACCAGCTCTGTCCCCTTGGACCAGTTACCTTGGACCAGCTCTGTCCCCTTGGACCAGCTCTGTCACCTTGGACCAGCTCTGTCACCTTGGACCAGCTCTGTCACCTTGGACCAGCTCTGTCACCTTGGACCAGCTCTGCCACCATGGACCAGCTCTGCCACCTTGCACTATCTCTGACACCTTGGACCAGCTCTGTCACCTTGCACTATCTCTGTCACCTTGGACCAGCTCTGTCACCTTGGACCAGCTCTGTCACCTTGGACCAGCTCTGCCACCTTGGACCAGTTACCTTGGACCAGCTCTGACACCTTGGACCAGCTCTGCCACCTTGGACCAGTTACCTTGGACCAGCACTGTCACCTTGGACCAGCTCTGTCACCTTGGACCAGCTCTGTCCCCTTGGACCAGTTACCTTGGACCAGCTCTGTCACCTTGGACCAGCTCTGTCACCTTGGACCAGTTACCTTGGACCAGCTCTGTCACCTTGGACCAGCACTGTCACCTTGGACCAGCTCTGTCCCCTTGGACCAGTTACCTGGGACCCGCTCTGACACCTTGGACCAGCTCTGTCACCTTGGACCATCTCTGTCACCTTGGACCAGCTCTGTCACCTTGGACCAGCTCTGTCACCTTGGACCAGTTACCTTGGACCAGCTCTGTCACCTTGGACCAGCACTGTCACCTTGGACCAGCTCTGTCACCTTGGACCCGCTCTGTCACCTTGGACCAGCTCTGTCACCTTGGACCATCTCTGTCACCTTGGACAAGCTCTGTCACCTTGGACCATCTCTGTCACCTTGGACCAGCTCTGTCACCTTGGACCAGCTCTGTCACCTTGGACCATCTCTGTCACCTTGGACCATCTCTGTCACCTTGGACCATCTCTGTCACCTTGGACCAGTTACCTTGGACCAGCTCTGTCCCCTTGGACCAGTTACCTGGGACCCGCTCTCTCACCTTGGACCAGCTCTGTCACCTTGGACCAGCTCTGTCACCTTGGACCAGCTCTGTCACCTTGGACCAGCTCTGTCACCTTGGACCAGCTCTGTCACCTTGGACCATCTCTGTCACCTTGGACCAGCTCTGTCACCTTGGACCAGCTCTGTCACCTTGGACCAGCTCTGTCACCTTGGACCATCTCTGTCACCTTGGACCAGCTCTGTCACCTTGGACCAGTTACCTGGGACCCGCTCTGTCACCTTGGACCAGCTCTGTCACCTTGGACCATCTCTGTCCCCTTGGACCAGCTCTGTCCCCTTGGACCAGTTACCTTGGACCAGCTCTGTCACCTTGGACCAGCTCTGTCACCTTGGACCAGCTCTGTCACCTTGGACCAGCTCTGTCCCCTTGGACCAGCTCTGTCACCTTGGACCAGCTCTGTCACCTTGGACCAGTCACCTGGGACCCGCTCAGGAGCCAGCTGCACACAGACACCTCCCCTGTGCTGTAAAGTTGACTGTCTGTCTGCTGTGCTTACTAATACGCAGTATGTATTGCAGGGTAAATCAATGCTCTACAGCAGCTGCAGCCTGCACGCTCGCATCTATTGACTCATGGATAAATATTCATGTCAGGCAGTTTGGTTGAAACAGGACAGGCAGCAGGGATGGGTCATCATTTAGTGCTGAGAGGGATGATGCTTCTCATGGCAACCAGCCAGCCAACCAGTCCGGTACCTCTCTGGTGGGGTTCTGTAGGGATGGGGGGGCATGAGGTGAGAGAGAAAGACACAGAGAGGGAGAGAGAGATGGAGGGAGAGGTGAAAGAGAGAGAGGGAGAGGTAAGAGGTGAGAGGGAGAGCTGGAGTGAGTGAGACTGACTTTGAGCGTGAGAGATGGAGGGAGAGGTGAGTCAGAGGTGAGCGAGATGGAGGGAGAGATGGAGGGAGAGGTGAGAGAGAGATGGAGGGAGAGGTGAGAGAGAGATGGAGGAAGAAGTGAGAGAGAGATGGAGGAAGAAGTGAGAGAGAGATGGAGGGAGAAGTGCGAGAGCGATGGCGGGCGAGTTGAGAGAGAGATGGAGGGAGAGGTGAGAGAGAGATGGAGATGTGAGTCAGAGGTGAGAGAGAGATGGAGGGAGAAGTGAGTCAGAGGTGAGCTAGAGATGGAGGGAGAGGTGAGAGAGAGATGGCGGGAGGGAGAGGTGAGAGAGAAAGAGACAGCGAAAAGGGTAGGAATCCTGTGAGAGAGGAAATGCAGTGATAGGAAGAGAGAGAAGATGCCCTAGAGCACACAAAAAACGATACATACCCCGGCATAAACATCAGCGCCACAGGTAACTTCCACAAAGCTGTGAACGATCTGAGAGACAAGGCAAGAAGGGCCTTCTATGCCATCAAAAGGAACATAACATTTGACATACCAATTAGGATCTGGCTAAAAATACTTGAATCAGTTATAGAACCCATTGCCCTTTATGGTTGTGAGGTCTGGGGTCCGCTCACCAACCAATAATTCACAAAATGGGACAAACACCAAATTGAGACTCTGCATACAAAATTCTGCAAAAATATCCTCTGTGTACAGTGAAAAACACCAAATAATGCATGCAGAGCAGAATTAGGCCGATACCCGCTAATGATCCAAATCCAGAAAAGAGCCGTTAAATTCTAGAACCACTTAAAAGGAAGCGATTCCCAAATCTTCCATAACAAAGCCATCACCTACAGAGAGATGAACTTGGAGAATAGTCCCCTAAGTAAGCTGGCCCCCACAGAGCCCCAGGACAACAACAACAACACAATTAGACCCAACCAAATCATGAGAAAACAAAAAGAGAATTACTTGACACATTGGAAAGAATTAACAAAAAAACTGAGCAAACTATGAATGCTATTTGGCCCTAAACAGAGAGTACACAGCGGCAGAATACCTGACCACTGTGACTGACCCAAACTTAAGGAAAGCTTTGACTATGTACAGACTCAGTGAGCATAGCCTTGCTATTGAGAAAGGCCGCCGTAGGCAGACCTGGCTCTCAAGAGAAGACAGGCTATGTGCACACTGCCCACAAAATGAGGTGGAAACTGAGCTGCACTTCCTAACCTCCTGCCAAATGTATGACCATATTAGAGACACATATTTCCCTCAGATTACAGAGATCCACAAAGAATTAGAAAACAAACCCAATTTTGATAAACTCCCTTATCTACTGGGTGAAAAACCACAGTGTGCCATCACAGCAGCAATATTTGTGACCTGTTGCCACAAGAAAAGGGCAACCAGTGAAGAACAAACACCATTGTAAATACAACCCATATTTATGTTTATTTAATTTCCCATTTGTACTTTAACTATTTGCACATTGTTACAACACTGTATATATACATAATATGACATTTGAAATGTCTTGATTCTTTTGGAACTTCTGAGTGTAATGTTTACTGTTAATATTTATTGTTTATTTCACTTTTGTTTACTATCTACTTCACTTGCTTTGGCAATGTTAACGTACGTTTCCCATGCCAATAAAGCCCTTAAATTGAAATTGAAATTGAATTGAAGATGAGACAGGGATATGGACAGCAGAGAGAGCAAGGAGTAATGAAAAAAGAGGGAGTGATAGAAAGAGAGAGGGAGGAAGAGAAGAGCAGAGCAGAGTGAGTGGAGTGAACTCAGCGTAGTCAGGGTGGTACCTCTGCTCTGTTTGTCCCAGTGTTCATCTGCAGCTGAGACTCATGGGAAAGGGAATTAGTGTGGGACTACTTCCTGGGCCAAACACACAGGGACTCGCTCTGACATTGTCTGTCTCCGTCACACACACACACACGCACACACTCTCTCACTCTCTCACACACACAACACACACACACACACATACAACACACACTTACATACACACACACACACACGCACACTGAGCTGCTCGGTAGAGTAAACATAAATTGGAGTAATCTTTATTGAAAGTGCAAGCTCGAGCATCGAGCGCTCCAAAACCCCGGGAGAGAGAGCGAAGGAAAGAGCAAAAGGAGAGAGAAGAGGAGGCGCTATAGCCGAAGCGCCGCGGCAAGAGGAGTAGCACCTAGGGCTCCCCGAGCATCTGACCAGAGAGAGATCAGATCTATAGAGCTCTATTCTTAGCGAATCTCGAGATAGCTCTCTCTCTATCTTCTACTCCTCTCTATCTCTCTCTCTATCTCTCTCTCTCCTCTCTCTCTTCTCTCTCTCTCTTCCTCTTCTCTCTCTCTCTCTCTCTCTCTCTCCATCTATCCCTAGAGGAAGAAACAAGGCTTGTGTGGATGTCTTATCATTCTGTATCGAACAACATCTTGGCAGAGGCCTAGTTCTGTCTGATATAAACTACCTCACCTACTTTGCTGTGCCATGACAACAGAATGTTTGAAGTTGTACCAGAAATACTACATTTTTTGTAATAGTTACTACTGACTCAAAAAGCACTGTAAAGCTGAACATGAGAGGGTACTCTGATATTGATATTCTAGGTTGAGTTGTTCTTTGTGTGTTTTTTCCTGTCGGCCCCCCGATGCCAGTTTGACAAACAGTCCAGTGGGATCATTCATTTACCGCCTGCCTCCATCCTTTTATTAAACGGGACTCGAAGAGCAATCTGGCCCAGCCCTTTACAGGCCACTGGCGTAGTGGCAGTCTGCCACTGACTGTCCGTCTTCCAGGGACTGTCTGTCTGCCACGGACTGTCTGTCTTCCAGGGACTGTCTGTCTGCCACGGACTGTCTGTCTGCCACGGACTGTCTGTCTTCCAGGGACTGTCTGTCTGCCACGGACTGTCTGTCTTCCAGGGACTGTCTGTCTGCCACTGACTGTCCGTCTGCCACGGACTGTCTGTCTGCCACGGACTGTCTGTCTTCCAGGGACTGTCTGTCTGCCACGGACTGTCTGTCTGCCACGGACTGTCTGCCACGGACTGTCTGTCTGCCATGGTTTGTCTGTCTGCAGCAGGCAGGCAGATAGTACTACAGTAATTTACTGTGGGTTACACTGCTCCCAAGAGGACAAGACTGGTACTGTATTATCATGAGAGATTGGTTCAATATGTAATATTATTTATATTTAATGTCATTCATTTGTTGTGAAAACACATATTACAGCATCTGGATGTAAATGATGATCATAAAAAGGTAGTCTACTGTTTCATCAATAGTGTTTTAATATATGATTTGTGGTCCTCTGTAGCTCAGCTGGTAGAGCACTGCGCTTGTAACGCCGAGGTAGTGGGTTCGATCCCCGGGACCACCCATACACAAAAATGTATGCACGCATGACTGTAAGTCGCTTTGGATAAAAGCGTCTGCTAAATGGCATATTATTATTTGCAGGTGTTCTGCCACAGTGTATGTGTGGCACTGTGTGAGATTCAGTGGTTCCCATTTGGGCTCAGAGAATAAAGCTAGATTAATTTTACACATGGTTAAACAGATCCTATACAGCATCAAACCTCTAGAGGGTTTTAGACAGTTCTTCATTCTTAAAGACTGCTGAAGTGCAACAGACAGTAGAGTATATAGTACTAATAGAATGTAGTCCTAAAATACTGCTCAGCTCTGGGCGTTGAATATGTATATTTTTAATAGCCGAGTGATATGCCAAATCCGTTTCTCCTGTTCGCCTGAGGGGGTCTGAAGGCTCTGTGTTCTCTCATTAAGCCTGGCTCCCTGTCTCCGCTGTGATTTGTCACCATGGAGAGTCTCACCGTGGCAACAGCTGTTTGTAGAGCAGGGATGTGTTGATGAGATTCGACAGATAGACAGGAGAATATTTATAGCTGCATCTACATGGCAGGTACCTACAGTCAGGGAGAGATCTGTGAGGATGCCACTCGGAGGGTTGGAGTGTGTGTGTGTGTGTGTGTGTGTGTTTGTGTGTGTATTTGTGTGTGTGTGTGTGTGTTTGTGTGTGTATTTGTGTGAGTGTGTATTTGTGTGTGTGTGTGTGTGTATTTGTGTGTATGTGTGTGTGTGTGTTGTGTGTGTATTTGTGTGTATGTGTGTGTGTGTTTGTGTGTGTATTTGTGTGTGTGTATATTTGTGTGTATGTGTGTGTGTATGTGTGTGTGTGTGTGTGTGTGTGTTTGTGTAACAGCAAGTATGCCTTCGTAATGGCCAATCCATATATTAAGTGTCCGTGTAAACATATGGACGTCCTCTCACCCCATACTCACTCTCACTATGAAAGATGCAAAGATCAAGATTATGGATCTGTATTTCCACGGCCGTCTCTTTTAGTCAACTCTCTTTATCAAAGCAATGATTCTAATCACCAACTAGAGCAGAAAACTAGAGAACAGTCAGAGGCTGAGAGACAGAGACAAGGACTGTGACCGGGGCAGAGTTGGGAGGAGGGTTTGGGTGAGGCTCAGTGACCACGTTTACCTGTACACCAATATCACGTGATTATTCGGGATACTCAAGTATTCTGTTGTTGAGTTGATGCATATAAACATCATATCCCGTTTACAATAACGCCAAAACAGTGG